CAAGTGCAAGGACCTGATTTTGATCCCCAGTATCAATAATATATATATTATATGAAAAAAAAAGAATTACATGAAAGTCAAATTTCAATGTCTAGAAAAAAGTTTGCCTGTGGCCATCAGGTACTGCAGTGAAAGGTTGAGTACCTAATTGTAAGTATATGACTTTCTAAGACTAAGATACTTTCTCAAAGAAAATGTTTGTTGGCCCCTAGCATAGACCATTATTTCACAATATTATTGAGGTAATGTAGCAAGCTTTTATTTACTGTTTGGTAGGTGTTTCCATGCCTGGCATATTGATATTGTTAGTGAATTTAAATGGGAATAAACTAATAAATATAATATTTTAATAAAAGCTCTTGAAACCAATGTCATTCCATTTGAAGACTACAAGAGATACTTTCTCCTTTTAAAAATTAGAATATCATATTGTATATAATCACTATAAAAGATTTAAACTTTTGACAAATGTTTTAATTACATTTTCTGGGGCTTTACTTATTTTTCTTATGCATTTTTCTTTTCCCACATTGTCTATTTTTAGACTACAGTATATTAGAGTCCTAGCAACTCTCAAAAGGGATCAGTGAAGTTTTTAAGTATCATGAATTCCAAAGTATCGTGAAATTCCAAGTTTTAAGTATTGTAAATTCCAATAATAGTTATTATTTCTTTGATCCTCAGTTTGTCTCATCTTTGGTCATTGGGAACGTGGTTCATGTGTCCTTTTAACATGAACCTAGATTCTTTGATAAAAATTTTGTTTTTGTGTGATGGGATATCCCAAGTGTTATGTGGTGCATTAACTGCCTCAGGCTTGCCATCAGCCATTTCTTCAAGGAGCCTTGATTCATTTTTGAAGGAAATTTTAGCTAACAGTCTGAATGCTTTATTAATTCTTGCCTTTCAGGTTTAATATCTCTTCTGTATTTTCATCATTCCCTTCACAATTTATAATTTCTTCATTATTTTAAAACAATATAAACTGAAGTAAACCACATCAAATCTGCTCCTTGAATGTGCACTACAGCAGTTTGTAAGCTTTCTTATTATACTTTCCAGTTTATTTGATGTCATATAAAACAAGGTGGGTTCACCTACAGATATCTCTATGTCTTGTGTATCTGTGGATGGCTCATGAAGTAGGTATATGTTGTCTTTGATAGATGTAGAATTTAACCTTGCAATTACAGTATACTCATTTTTAGTTACTTAGTTCGTAGGCCTCTGAAATGACATTATCTTAGTGCTTCTTTAGTAAGACATGGTATACTGTCCAGTATTAATCTTGTGAGATATTGTGAAGGTACAAGGTAAATACTGTACATATGAAACTCAATTATGGGTACTTTCAGTGACTGCACACTTATTTTGTTTTCTGGTGTGTGACTAAATTTTGCTTTCAGAGTTTTCTGTTCCTATTAGTTCATTGTGTACAAGTAGCAATGTGCATGCCTACGTAGTTAGAATGCACACAAACCTTTTACAATCACTTATCCTTCATTACCTCACTTTTGTTTCCTTCTTTTATTCCAGTTCTAGTTTGTTGGGTATCTTGTTTTGTTGGTACTACTTTATTAAGGAAGTAATGAGTGGGCTGGAGATGCAGATTATTGGTAGAGGACTTGCCTAGTTGCATGAAGCCCTGGGTTTCATTCCTAGCACTCCCACCCCTAAAAAAGTAGTGAGCAGCAAGTGTTTTCCCTTTTCCTAAAAATCAAGTCTGAAGAAAAATGTACCTGTTATTCCAGCACTCTGAGAGGCTGACACAAGATCATGAGTTGAGGTCTAGCCTAAGCAACTCGGTGAGACCTTGTCTCAAAATACAAAATTAAAAATGATCAATACGGAGGCCTTGGGTTCAAGCCCCAGTACAGAAAAAAAAAAAAAAGAAAAATTGAGAAATTTTTAATCTACTAAATTGCATATATTAAAAAATTGACTTGCAATTGCTTTTTCATTTTATGATTAGGCACACTTGTTCCTGTAAAAATAAATGAAATATTTGAGTGATGATTGCATGTCAAGTATTATGTAAATGCTTACAATGAGCCAAACATTGTTCTGTATATAAACTTCTATAAGCCTTAGGAACTCATCTGTGAGGTAGATACAGTTATTATCATGGGGGAAGAGGCACAAAATAGTCGTTACTCTTTCAGGCTTACAAAACTAATAAATAGCCAGAGCTAGGTTATTAATCTAGGCCATATCCTTCCAAGGCCCAATTGAGTTCTATGCTCTGTGGCCATAGTATGGAAGGAAGATCTGCAGTCAACATTATGTGGGAATAAGAGAGGAGTGCTTACTTATAGGAGAATTTTAAGGTGACCCCATGATATTGCTTGGTGAGAAAAGCTGTGGGTTTTACTTTTTATGTTTCTTTCCTAGTTTCTTTCTCTTTTTAAATTACTAATGTTATCACTGTACATTGCCTTTTATTACTGGGATTTTATTACTGGGTATTCATATCTCAGTTCATTAATGTGTTGCTCTCAAATATCTCACATCTAATTCTTTGGGGGGTATTGTTTTTGTTTTTTGAGGGGTTTTTTTTCTTTCGGTTTTTTTGAGACAAGGTCTTGCTTTGTTGACTGGCCTTGAGCTCACTGTGTAGTCCACCCTGCCCTCAAACTCGTGGTGATCTTCCTGCCTCAGCATCCAAGTGCTGAAATTACAGATGTGTGCCACTTTGGCCACATCTGATTCTTGATCTGAACAAGTTATGGTCAGAAGTTAACATTGGAGGCTAAGGATGCAGCCCAGAAGTAGAGTGTATGCTTATCAGTCCCAGCACCAAAAAACAAGTACCATTATTCTGAAGATTGGGAATATATTATTTGTTAACTTAACAATTATATCTTCCATTAATGTAATGTCTCATAGATTTTCCAAAAACTTGCAAAGGGTATGCTGTCATCTGTATCTGACAAATGCTTGGAGACAAAAAGCGCAGGTGGTACCAGCTTTATTTTATACATATAATAAACTGAGTCTCAAATGGGACACAGCAGTAGTGGAAGAGTTTACACAGAACCCAGGTTTTACCCTTTGTTCCTTGCTATTCCTCTCTGTCTCCAGCACTTTCTCATAGTAATTCATTCAATGGTAGATTCATTTAGAATCAGAAGGTTAAAAGAAACTATTGTAGTAGTAAATTAAAATACATTTTGGGTTTTTGTTTGTTTCTTTGGGTGTTTGTTTTGCTAAGATGAAATCTCAATATGCAGCCTAGCCTGGCTTCAAACTTGAGATCCTGCTATCTCTGTCTTCTGAGTTCTGGGATTAAAGGCATGTGCCACCATGTCTAGCTAAAATATATTTAAGAGGAAAATTCCTGTTTAATAATAGAATTTTAAGGGACTGAGATTTAGCTCAGTGGCACTGTGCCTGCCTCACAAGCACAAGGTCCTGAGTTCAATCCCTAGTACCAAAAAAAAAAAAAGAATTTTAAAGAGTAACTTCTTTGAGTTATTTTGTAAGTGATAAGTTGAATAATTTGCAGGTCCTGCAGTTGTCAGTCATCACCTTGCTCGAGTTCTGCTGTTGTGGAAGTGTGTCTTCCCAGCATCTCCTAAAGATCTGGAAACAGAAAAGAGCCGAGGAGATTCATTTACATGGCAAGTAACCCTGGAAGGACGAGCTGGTGCACTCAGTGGTAGGTTCAGTTTAGTCTTTTATCTCCCTTTTCTTCGGCTTTTTCTCCACCCTTTGTCTTCACATGTACTGTATATTTCACTTAATTGGGGGAGGGGGGAAATCTACCTCAAATGATTTTTGTAACAACATAGTTGATTGGTGATGGTAACTGAAGAATGAAGTAATAAGCCAAACTTGAGAGTTCTAATGTTTAGGCTAATCCGTGGTGCAGTCCGGTAGAGAACTATCAAGATTGCTTTCTTTATCTTAAATAGATCTCCACCTCTTTTCATAAATAGTAGGCTTTGATTTAAATAGCACTAATGAAGCATAGTTTCCATTTAATCTGTACATGCATGAAAGTTGTGCCTTTTGACAGTACAGTATATGTAGAGTGTTGAAAATATTCCACCATTAAAATTTTAACAAAGATGGGTTTTCTGGAAAGTCTGAGAAACATTGATTTAGGTTTTGTTTGCTCATGAAATTTTTACACTCTTAAAAGTGAAAAATCAGCTGGGTGTGGTAGCACATGCCTATAGTTCCAGCTCTCGGGAAGCTGAGTCAGGAGGATTGCTGTGAGTTCGAAGACAGCCTGGGATCCATAGTGAGTTCAAGGCCAGCCTGAGCTACATAGTGAAACCCTGTCTCAGGAAAAAAAAGTGAAAAATCAACTGTGAATGTTATCTTGAAATTCATACTCATATAAAGTAACTCCTGATAGAAGGCTCCTGGTTTCATAACATCTTTAAATCCTAACCTGCTCAGTGTTGGGGATTTATCTCAGAGGTGCCACGTCTACCTCAAAAGTGCAAGGTCCTGAGTTCAAGCCCTGGTACCAGGGGGTGAGGGGGGGAGATCCTAACATACAGACTTGAGTGTAGAACTAGAACTAGTGTGAAATTGACAAACTTGAAAGTCTAAGCTCATTTGTTTTTTAACCTCTGACCTCAAAGGCTGAGTAAAGCCCCAGGAGAGCAGCATTGTCTTAGTTATTGATCCCTTTTAGTAGGCCTAGAAAGGTTTTTTTGATTTTTGCTTTAGTTGTTTTTGTTGTTTTAATGATTAGGGATAGAAAGCACTAGCTGCCTGTTTATACTAAACTTTCAAGAATTGTTTTCTGGTTTGGGGACTTTATTTTCTAATAAAACTGCAAATGCTGTACCATAATCAAATGCTCTTTTCCTGGTTGATTACACTATGCTGAATAAAAGTATGTTTTCTTTTTCAGCTATCAAGAGCTTTGTTTGCCACTGTGGTGATCTCCTTACTAAAGAAGTAATTCAGCATCTTCTTCCACCACTTCCTTGTGCTGTGGATTTGTTAACTCAGTAAGGATTACCTGTTTGTTTGTTTGGGGTTTTGTTCTTTTGTTTTGGGCTTTGTTTTTTTTTTCTTTTTGGTACTGGGGATCAAACTCAGGACCTTGCGCTTGTGAGGCAGGAGGCAGGCGGCAGCACCACTGAGCTAAATCCCCGGCAGGATTACCTGTGTAGATTGATAAAATTTTCTAAGAGCAATTAGTTGTTACCCTCTGATTTTGTAATATCTCTTGAATGCACTGATAGAGCAAGTATCTATGGTTGGATAATTTTCTGTTTGCAAAGGAAAGCAATCATTTAGTTGTGTTTTTAGGATAGGATCTTGAGAGAAAAATATGTATTAAAAGGGAAGGAATGAGCCTGGGATTTAGCTCAGTGGCACCATGCCTGCTTGGCAAGCGCAAGGTCCTGAATTCAATTGCTGGTACCAGAGGAAACCAAAAAAAAAGGGAAGGAAAATTATTTGGGGAATAATGTACTTTTCTTACTGGTAGATTTAACAAGAAATTAAAAATTAACCCTGTTAACCTTTTCAGGTAGGCATTTTATTGGTTTGTTAGTGCTGTTCTGTGTTCATAAGAGCCAGATACTTGTTAATAGGTTCAGTTTTTTGTTTGCTTGTGTTTTTAAGTTTGAGTTATACGTATATGACAGAAATAGAAAAAAGGCAATATATATCATGAATACTTTCCAAATTAATAAAATGTATAGAGAAATTCTTCCCTCAAAGTGTTTAATGATATAATATTTTACACATATAAAAATACATTTAGATAGGGTTTATAAAGCATAATAATAAAATGAACTCCTGTGAATCCAGCATATGAGGTGTGATCAAAATACAGTGGTACATTGGATTATGAACTTAATTTTGTTTTACGATTTGGGGGAAGATGACTGTGTTTGTGTTTGTGTGGGGAAGTTGGCCATGGTTGTGTTTGTCACCCAGTGCATTTTGCATACAGAAGCAAAAATTTGCCAAATGCTTTGTCTGAAAACAGAAGCATTCATGAACCGAGTATTACTGTATATGGTGAACATTAAATTTTTAACATTTATTACAATAAAAGATAGTTTGCTGTTAATCCCCCTCAAAATACTCGGCCTTGCTGCAAACACTCTTACCATTTTTGCCAGTTTTTTGAAGCAATTCTAGAAGTCCTCATTTGGGTCTTTATACAGTGTAATCAAAAGTATGGTGAATGCTACTGCCAAGTGCTATCCAACAGATAGGCAGTCTTGTAAAAACATTATGCTGTGTCATCATCCACATTATTTACCAGATCTGGTACTATGCAACTTCTAGCTCTTCCCCAGAGTCAAAATAACTACAAAAGGTAAATGTTTTGAATTGATTCAGGACATTAAGGCAGCCATGATGGTGCAACTAAAGAGGACTTCTAAAACTGCTTCAGAAAGTGGCAAGAATGATGGGATCACTGTGCTTTGACAGGGTGGAATATTTTGAGGGAGATTAGTGGCAACATGAAAATTTTTAAACATTCACCATAATTTTCAGTCATCCTTATAAGTGAGCAAGGGCTATAAAAGCTCCTATAAAGTGCCAAATAATAAATATTTTAGAGCTTTTATAGGCTACAGTGTCTATGTTACAATTGCTAGACTCAGTCACTGTTGCCCAAAGGTAATTGTAGCTACTGAATGTGGCTATGTACATTAACACTAAACATATCTTTAACCTATTTCTCTTTTAAATTGTCCAGTTCTTTTGCCATTCACCAAAATACTAAAATATCTTATAGTTTTTTTGATAAATAGGCATTCTTGATTTAAATATCAGGTGTATCAATCTTTTACTTTTTTGGTTCATACTTTTTGTCTTTTGGTTTAAAAAATTTTACTGCAAGGTTATGTTTTCTTATATTTCTCTCTGAAATGTTTCAAGTTTTGTCTTTTCATATTTAAGTCTTTAATCCATCTGGAACTGATTTTTCCTCTTTGGAGTGAGAGAGAGATCTGTCTTTGTTTGTGCTGCCACAACAAAATACCTGAGGCTGGGTGATTTATAAAGATCAGAATTTATTTCTCAGTTCTGAAAGCTAGGAGTCCAAGATCAAGATGCCAGCAGCTTTGGTATATAGTGAGAGCCTGGTCTCTGCCTCCAAGAAGGCACCTACTGCTGCATCCTCTGGAGAGGACAGATGCTGTGTCTTCACATGGCAGAAAGGACAGAGGGCAAAAAAAAGACCTATATGTCCCCTGTCAGACCTTTTGTAAAGACATTAATCTCTTTGTTGAGATTATTAAGTAACTGGTCATGTGTTGTGTTTATGTTTATTGCTTCTATATTTGGTCTGATATCCAGCCACCTTGCTAAATTCTGCTAAACATAAATTTGTAGAATGTTTTGGATTTTTTCTTTCATATTCTCTGTCTCGCATTATGTGCTAGCTAGATAACTGTCAATAAAACTGGCTAGAAGCTACTTGCACTGGCATATACCTGTATTGTCCCACCTACTCAGGAGGCTATGACAGGAGGATCACTTGAGGCTAGTTTAAGGCCAATATAGTGAGATCCTATATTTTTTTTAAAAAGAGAGAGAGTAGAAGGGGTTAAAGGGAATGCTTTGTATATCTCACTAATAAGTACGATGTTTACTCTGTACTGTTAGTAATCAGGCTAATGTTCTTATGTTCACCATGTTTTTGTTTTTTATCGTGAATAGATTTTGATTTTTATGAAATAGTTTAATCCAATAAACTTTAACGCAAGAAAGTCTTGTGATCAAATTTTTAATTTAAATAAACTGAGCTTGGAAATACTACCTTTTAAAGTTTTTTTTATTTTATTGGTACATTTTAGGTGTACAATATAATGACATTCATCATTGGAAATTTGCACCTTTACATAATCTCTCTTGGTTCTTATTTTTCCCCCTTCTCCTTCCCCTGCCTTCCCTTCAACCCCTCCATCCCTCCCTCTTTACAAAGACTTTGTTTCCATTTTTTCACTTTCTCATGTTAATTCCATTTCCTTCATTCCTTTCCCCTACCGCTCCCACTTCCCCTTCCCCTTTGCCCCTTTTCTTCCTATTTCACATTGTCTATTATACCTTTTAGTCTTTATTTATACTTTCAGTTTCTCACACTAGAGAAGCTATTTGGTATTTTTACACATGTGTGTCCTCTTTAGAAAATATTACCTTTTTTTAATAAACTTTGGAGATTTCTATGCAAATTCATTAGTGGGACAGTCCTAAAATTTTCTTGCACTGTCCTTGTCAAGTTTTTAATGAATTTCATTATTATCCTCATAGAATAAGATGAGTATTTCATCAAGTTCTTTGGGAGTGTTTATTGAGTTAGCTGTCACAGTCATTTGTCTGTAAAACAGTCAGTAGTTGGTTTTTTGTGGAGGGGGAAGACTTTCATTTCAAGTTATATATTTCATTTCTTTGGCTGCTTTTTCTTTTAGTTTACAAGTTTTATTTCATATCAGTAATTTGTATATAAAACAAGTATTTTGGGGAGTAAAAAACAAATATAGAGAAGGGACAGTTTCCACCCAAGTATAATTATAATTCAGTGGAAATGCTTAGAAACATAACCAGTATTATATACAAAACATTTTAAGAGGTTTACTGTTATTAAAATATGTATCTATGGAAAGCAAAAGGTTTATTTACAGTGTAATATCAATACTGTACCCCCCTTATGATGCTAAATACTGAATGCACAAAAAGGTGGCCATCTTCCCAACACTTCATAATCCTATAATCTTCAAAGTGATGTATATTCATTCATTCAGTCTGCTTATGTGTAGAAAGCACTGTGAGAAGCAATTTGAAGGATGGAGGCATGATTTAAACATAGTTTCTGTCTTCTAGGAGTAAGGAAATAGCTGGCAAGCTAAGTGGAAAAGAAGTATCAGTAAAGGGCTGCAGAGAACACTCAGAGTAGTTATTATGCCCTGGGATTTGGAAGGGCTTCACAGTAGAGTGGCACTTGAGCAAAACTTGTAAAAGTGAATAGCCTTTAATGGTAGAGACAAGGGGAGGGCATCTCAGAAAGAGAGATCATTGAAAATCAAAGTACAGAGGTATGAAAATTAATGCTTTGGGAAAACTAAGCAGACTGGTGAGGCCAGAGCTGGGAATTGAAAAAGGGTAGAGGGAAATGACACCAAGAAGTTGAGATACAGCCGGTGTATGGAGGGTTTGATGCCACATTAAACCTACTAATTCTATTCAGCTAACAGTAGGGTACCAGTGGATATTCAAGAGGATGAGAAAAAAATCAGGGACTATCTATTTGATATCAAATGTAACTTCTTGGGCTGGGGATTTAGCTCAGTGGTTCTACTGCCTGCCTCGCAAGCACAAGGTCCTGAGTTCGATCTCCGGTACCAAAAAAAAAAAAAGTAACTTCTGAAATTAATGACTGGCTAAGGAATATTCAAGTAGGGTGGAAAGAATTAAGACACCAAAGTATAGGGGCAACAGGAAATGTTGTGTGGGGATGTATTAATACACTTCAACTAGCCAACTCCAATCTGCTCTTTGTTTCTCAAAGTGACTATTTCTCTACTTTGAACCAAGTTTCTCTATTATGTACCCTCAGTGGTCTCTGTACTTTTTCTTTGTACCCTATAGCAGATTTTATAATTATACTGTATACTTACTTGCATGTAATGAGTGTGAATGACTTCCATTGATCTGCTGTTTTTCTGTAGATTACCCACTGTGCCTGACCCAGAGGAGGGACTAAAATATTCAACAAGTCAATGAGTGAATGAATGAATGAATGAATGAAATGTTGGAATGGGCACACTGTGTTGAAGGATGATGAGACAAAAAAATTAAAAATTAAGACAAGTATTATGTCTCTCCCCCTAATGTATTGTTGAATTCGGTTTGTGAATATTAAAAATTTTTGCATCTATGTTTATCAAGGACATTGGTCTATAGTTTACTTTTTTATTGTTCTTGTGTCTTTGTCTAGTTTGGGTATCAGGATGATATTAGCCTCATAGAATGAGTTTGGAAGCATTTGTTCCCTTTCTATTTCATGGAATAGTTGAAGGAGTATGGTATTCATCCTTTAAAGGTCTGATAAAATTCACCCATCTATCTGGTTCTGGGCTTTACTTTATTGGAAGTCTTTTTTTTTTTTTTTTAATAAATTATTGCTTCATTTCATTGCTTATAACTGATCTTTTTAGGTTTGTTATACCTGCTCCCTTCATTCAGTTTTGGTACATCATATGTGTCTAGAAATTTATCTATTTCTTCTAAATTCTCCAGTTTATGAGAATATAGTTTTTTCAAAGTAGTTGCTGATAATCCTTTAGATTTCTGTGGTATCTGTTATAACATTCTTTTTCATTTCTAACTGTGTTGATTTGGGTCTTCTCTCTCTTTCTTTTGGTTAGTTTAGCTAAGACTTTTTCAATCTTGTTTATTTTGTGAGGTGGGGAGCTTTTTTTCTGGCCCTGCCTGTTTGGACGTCTAAATGGCTCCTGTACCTACCTGGACGTCTGTATCTTTCCCAAGATTTGAGAAATTTTCTGTTATTATTTTATTTGTACCTTTATGTTCATTAAAGAGATTGGACTGTAGTTTTCTTTTTTCTTGTTCTTTTTTATTTTTGGTACCAGGGATTGAACTTGGGTCCTTGTGCTTGCGCAGCTAGTGCACTGAACTAAATCCCCGGCCCTAGTTTTCTTTGTTAATTGAGTCCTTGTCTGGTTTTGGAATCAAGGTAATGATAGCTTCCAGAAATGACTTTGGCAGTACTCCTTCCCTTTCAATTTTGTTAAAGAGTTTGAGGAGTATTGGTGTTAGGTCTTCCCCAAGGTTCTTGTAGGATTTGTGGTAACTCTACTGGGTTCTAAGATTAGTTCGTAAGTTTTTTATTACCTATTATTTTTATTTTTTATTGCCTATTATTGAATTATTCAGGGTTTTTACATCTTCTTAGTTCAGTCTTGGTGATTCATATGTATTTGGGGTATATAGCTAATGTATTTGTCAACTTGTTCAATATTTGTGCACTGTCATATAGCCGACATACTTAAGATACACTTTTTCTTTCATTTTAAGGCTTTCTTCTATACTAAAATCATATGGAAATCCCTTGAAAACACCATCAGTAGTTTACAGACAACGACTTTATGAACTGTTGATTTTATTACCTCCCCAAACCTATGAAGGTATGTGCTTTAGACCAAAATGTTTTATTGTTCGTGGGTAGTCTATAGTTGCTCATTAAATACTTGAATAAATGAATTATGACATTTATTTAGTACCTTGTTTCTAGGAGGTTTAGACAATCCAATCTTCTGTGTTTAGAATTTTTATAATAAGTAAAATATATTTTTATAAAACCTACTTCTTTATAGCTTGCTTGCTTCTCTCCTCTGAGGGAGAAACAATCCCTAATTCTATTTTATGAGAGCACATGAGTCACAAACACTGATCTTAATTTTACTCTAAAAGTTTGTACAGAATGTATAATGTAAATCTGATACAAATTTGGCTACCCCTAATTTCCTTCTGGAGAGATTATCTATAGTAATCATTCCTTTCCATTATTCTGTTCATAACTCTGCCAAGAAAAAAGTTTAATATTGAACTATCAAGTTGTAATTGCTCTCTTATATAATTTGTAATTAACTTTTGCTCTTACTAGGTTCAGAAATGACTTGTTTACTACAGTGATAAAATAAACTGGCAATAAATAAAATAAACTTGTTCCTCCTTTAAAATTAGTCTTAAAATCTTTACCCTAAATATTAAATATAGTTTTAAACATATATATTGCTGCTACAATAATTCAGGATGTTTGTTCTAAAAGTTGACACTTAGAAATTGTCTTCAATGGGAACTTTTATATTTTTTTAGTATTGACAGTTTTCAGCCAAAAATTATTAAACTGAATGCTACTTAAAATATATTTCTTGTACGGGCTGGGGATTTACCTCAGTGGTTCTGCCACCTACCTCGCAAGTGCAAGGACCCGAGTTTGATCCCCAGTACCAAAAAAATATACATATATATTTCTTCTAAAAATACTACATTTATTTGCTTATGTTCTTCTGCAAATAAATCCAGCATAATAAATAGCATATTAATTCAAAATATTAACCTATAGTTTCTGTCTTAGCCTTTATCTTTATGTGAGTGGTACTGTACCCACTTTCTCCTGGTTCACAGATGTACTTATAAAATGTTCACTATAAAGTAAGCATTTAGTATATATGTACTTCTAAAGAACTGAAAAAAAAAATGTAATGCCATTTCTCAGAAACTTCAAAGAACCATTTCTGTATGCTAGACACTGCTACAAATTGTATATAACATATTTAATTTATACATTGACCTGGTTATAGTTTCCTAACTTGGCAGATAAAAGCTAAGTCAGTAGCCAGGTGTGGTGGTATGTTTCTGTGTTCCAAAGTACTCAGGAGGCTAGGACAGGTACATCCTTTGAGCACAGGAGTTCCAGACCAGCCTGGGCAACGTAGTAAGACCCTGTCTCAAAAAATCAACTGAAGAATACATATCCAATAAGTAAGTAGAATCAAGACTGAAACAAAGGTTTACGTCATGCTATGCTGCCTCTCCACTTACAAATAACCTGCTAGAGAACTAATTAATAAACAGTCACAGCTTAATGACAGGTGTGTCTTATCTGTGTTTCATTACGAAAGTGACCATTTATCTACTAAAAAACTGAGTGGTAATTTCTGTGTTTCATGGCTTTGATACCTGTTAGGTTGTGACAAAAGTAATTCTCAGGGGCCAGGGATTTAGCTCAGTGGTTCCACCGCCTGCCTCACAAGCGCAAGGTCCCGAGTTCGATCTCTGGTACCAAAAAAAAAAAATTGTCAGATTTTTTACCATAGTATAGTACTTTGCAAATTATTTTCAAACTACATTTTTAAAAACATTAACTATTTAGGAATATAAGAAGATCAGCTTAAAATCTACAGCGTTATCTTCTAATAAATGATGTAATTAAATAATGTAAATCTACACTTTGGATTTAGGGAGGATGAAAAGCATTTTCTCAGAATTGGAGTTGAGGAATGCAACAAATATTGTGAATGTTACATCAGTTCCAAGATGTTCATAAAGAGACCAAGTTAGGGCTTACTCTAAAGAAAGGCAAAATCACCAGGTATGGTGCCACATGCCTGTAATCCTAGTACTCAAGAGGCTGAGGCAGGAGGATTGCCTTGAGTTTGAGGCCAGCCTGGGCTACCTGGTGAGTTTAAGGACAGCCTGAACTATACAGCAAGACCTTGTTTAAAAAAAAAAACAAACAAAAAGAAAACACAATAAAAATTAAATTTACCCTCTGTGTCTTTTCATGTAGATCTACTTTTATAACATGTTAAAGAAAAATGATTGATAGACAAATGGTAACGTAGTTGTGTTATGTTTATGTTTCAACCAAAAGTAAGCATTTTCCAATTTTACAACTATACCAATAGAAATTTTTTTTTTTATCTCCCACCCTTAGGACTTCAATTTAAGAAAAAAAAATTTGTTTTTTCTTTTTTGCAGGGACAGTGCTAGGGATCCAGAGTTTTACACATGCTAATCAAATGCTATATCACTGAGGTACATCCCTAGTGCTGTTTCTATTTAATGTATTTGTATAATGTGAATGGAACACAATAGCTAGAACTTTACCATTAAAATATTGACATTTTGAATAATATAACCCATAGTGTAGTAATAGCTGATAGTAACTTACAATTCTTAACATACAAAGAGTCTTTAAATTTGCTCATCTAATTAATTTGGAAAATGAGATGAACAAAACAAGTTTAAAGTTCTGATCATATAAGCTACTCCAACATATTGTCAAAAAGTTATCTTATAAAACATTAAAAATATTGCTTTTATTATATGAAAATACTTAAGAATTGAAAGAAACAAGGGAGGGGAAAAAAAACTAAGTCCAGTGATCCTGGCCAACTGTCAGGGAATACTAAGGGCACAAATCAAACTGCCAGCTCCTTTTTCTGAGTCAGATCTTTCACTTGTTTACTAAAAGCTTCAGCAGTGTATCTGGGAAAAAGATCATTAATAAAAAGTTATTCCAATTCTTTTTTTTTTTGTTATCCAGCAGATAGAGACTTTTGCATTAAGAAAGACTCAGTTTTCCAAAGGTTGTAGAGTAAAAATTGAGTTCTTAGTTTTTATTTGCTATCTTAGTTTTGGTGTAGATGTCCTTCAGATATTTTAATATTCTTCTTATTGAAAATAATTCCTCATTACCATTAGAAAGCCAATGAAGAATTTCTATAACAAAAGCATGTTTGCATTTCAAATTCTAATCATCTTTAAGTACTTTGTCCAGTGACAATCAAACAGGTAGCGAATGAGTAATTCTATTCCAGTTTCATCTAGGAGGTTTGTATATAAAGCTTTTAGAAATTTTTCTGACACATATTAAGTCTTTAGTAAATGTTTGTTGTTACTAGTGTTACTGCTAATAATGATACAAAAAAATAACAGGCACTGTTGCCTGTGCCTATAGTCAGTCCCAGGTACTCAGAAGCCTGAGGCAGTAGGTTTGATTAAGGCTAGCCTTGGCAACATAGTAAGACCCCTTCTCCAAAACCAAAAGAGAGAAGGGGGGAGAGGGATATGATGACATTATAGCATGTGAACCCTTCCTGCTGCTTATAATAGTAGACACCACATCCAGTATTCAGTTCACCCTAAGGCTATTGCTCAAAGAAATATTGCTCAAAAGTGAATATTTCTCTATGATGATTTTTACTCATTTTGGTAGCTTAGTGCTAAAAAACTGGCAAAAGCCAAATTTAAGCTCAGCCCTTTTTTTTGTTGAGACAGAGTCTCACTAAGTTTCCAAGATAGCACTAAATCAGCTTCAGCTTCCCTAAATCTGGGATTATGAGCAAACCTGGACTCTTTTTTTTTTTTTTTGGTACTGGGGATCGAACTCAGGACCTTGCCCTTGCAAGGCACCACTGAGCTAAATCCCTGGCCCAATACCTGGACTCTTTTAATCCCATACTCTCACCAGTCAGCTGCTAGTACTAAATTGCTAATTGCTCTTTCTGTCTGACTCAACAGGAAACCTCTGTGCTATCCTCAGAGAGCTGGCTGCTGACTTGACTGCCCCTGATATCCAGGTGGCAGCATCTACATTTTTACTTCCACCTCTTTGTCATCATGATGATCTTTTGATATTAAGTCCTTTGCTACAAGAGACTGACCATAGATTTATTGAAGAACAGGTATGGCTGGGGTTTTTTTTTGTACCAGAGATCGAACTCGGGTCCTTTCGCTTGAGAGGCAGGCAGCAGAACCATTGAGCTGAATCCCCACCCCTGGCTATTTTTAAATAACTCTTGAGTAGATTCAATCTTTGAATAGTAATTTTTAAAATTTAATATACGCTTTTTTCCTTTTAGCTCCTGCTTGGTAATGGGGTTGCTTGTGGAAGCCTTGAATATGACCCTTATTCCATTTATGAGAAGAATGTAGAGGGAGATTCTATACCTAAGCCCCTGCCTCCAGCACTGTCAGTTATTAGCTCTGCAGCCAAACTCTTTGGGTTTGTCTGTGCCCATGTGGGAGAAACTCAAAGGTAAATCTCTTCAGTGGTTTACTTATCCTCAAATATTAATATATAACTGACTCAGTGAATGCTTAATGGAGCACTCATGGGAAGAAGAATGTTGTCAGAAGATCTTATTAACATAAAAAATTTCTCATAAATTACAGGTAAAGGTAACATAAAGGTTCTTGTCTGTTCATGTGGCAAAAATGAACAAGAAATTATTAAATCCCCCAAAACATTGGGTACTATTGTGGATACAGTACTGTGCCTGCTATTAGATCATTATCTAGCTGAAAATATAAATTAAAAGGTCAATAATAACAAAAGATTATTGATTTATGAGTAATTGTTATAAAGAAAAACTAATTTTTTTGCGTACACTAGGTCTCCCAGGCTTACTTTGGAAATTTTATGCAACCATTACAAGTTCAAGTATTAGTCTTCATTTGGGTGGATTTCAAAACATTGATTCTGTCAGTTCACTTAAAATGAACCTTAGACCACAAATAAAATGAGGTGATGGATATGTTGATTAGCTTGATTGTGAAAATCATTTCACAGTAAAACATATTGTATACCCTAAATGCCACACAGGTTTTATTTCCCAATTGTACCCCATTAAAACTAGGGAAAAAATTAATACCATTAAAACATAGTATTCCCCACAATCAATGTATCAACATATACTAATTTTTTTAAAAGGAATAAGAAAAAAAATTATGTTATATAGGGATTTCCATCTTATGCTATTTTAAGAAAATTAAAAGGGCTGGGGATTTAGCTCAGTGGTTCTGCCGCCTGCTGTGCAAGCGCAAGGACCAGAGTTCGATCCCCGGTACCAAAAAAAAAAAAACAACAACACCAAAAAAAGAAAATTAAAAATACAGGATGCACTCCCAAAAGAGAATTGTGGTTTTTCAAATCCAAAGACTGAATCCAGACATGGTGGCTTATAGGCACAAGCTTGTAATCTCAGCACTCAGGAGGCTGAGGCAAGAGGGTTGCTGCTAGTTCGAGGCTAGCTTGGACTACATAGTGAGACTGTGTCTCAAAAAAAAGAAAGACTGATAATGCTTTCTCATTGAGAATGATAGTTTCTTCATTAAAAACTAGGTGTATACCTTTCTTAGGAATCAGAAACCACTGTCCAGGAAATTCTGTTATCTAAGAAACTAAATGAGAAATGAACCTCTCCCATAGATTATTCTAATAGTTGATAAATTATTACAGTCCTCATGCATTTATATTCTCTCCCTCACTCCATTCCTCTCTATTTCCCTCCTTCCCTCTTTCCCTCTCTCTTCCTCCCTCTGTCTCTTCCTTTCTCATGCTAGGCCAGCAATGCTTTTGACTATATCATTTTATCTAGTTGTATCTCCCAGAGGATACCAATTAGGTTGAGATTTTACCTTGGCCTCATTTTAAAGAGTTAAATATTTTAGTCTTATCAGCAATATATTTCTGAAACAGGTCTTGGAATAGTTTATTTTCATTTCACAGAAAAGTGAATGAAAATTATGTTGAAGTTTATTGGCTTCAGTTTCAAAAGAATGTTTTCCCAGAATTTATTTGTAGCTTGTAATTCTGTGTATATACTGTAACTATAAAGTTATAGTCCTATGATACTTAAGATAGTATGTAAATAATAAATGAATAAAAGATATGAGGAAAATCACAGAGTCTGGAATATTCAAAGAAAGGTTCATGGGAAGGATGAGATTTGAATTAGTTTATGCTATTTTATAAAACATACAATTTTGTATAATTTAGATTAATGTAACAGTAATTAACTGTGGATGAAACAGGGATGGCCTTTTAGGCAAAGGATTTAAATTAAGCATGTTCATGAGTAGCTCCACTCTTCTATAGATCTGAGGTAAAAAGCAAAAAAAAACAGTGTACTTTTTACAACCTTTCCTTTTAAAAATAATGATTTCATTATTCTCCTAGAGAATCTTTTCTTTTCAGATTTGTTACCCAATCGTAGTTTCAATCAGATGCATTCTTAGGCATGGTGGCACATACCTGTAATCAATCCCAGCCACTTGGAGGGAGAGGTCAGCCTTAGTAAGATGCTGTCTCAAAATAAAATTGAAAAAAGTCTGGGATTACAGCTTAGCAGTAGAGCACTTGCCTAACATATGCAAGGCCCCAAGTTTAGTCCCTAGTATCACAAAATGATGGGGGCAGGTGATTTCTTGTTTTATTATATAAGTTTAATGAATTTTAAAATGTGCTTATAGTTCCCCACCATAACCAAGATTATAATATTATAATAATATTCAAGGAAGGGGAAGTTTTATTTTAATAAAATAGTTAAGAGAGTTCGATCCCCAGTACCAAAAAAAAAAAGTTAAGTCTTAATAAAAGCAAAACCTAGGACCGGGGATTTAGCTCAGTGGTCCCACCGCCTGCCTCGCAAGCGCAGGGTCCCAAGTTCGATCCGCGGTACCAAAAAAATAAAACCAAAACCTGTCATTCTGTTTTGGATTAAAAAATAGTCAATGGTGTGGGGTGTGTGTTTGTGTGTATTGGGGATGGAACCCAGGCCGTTTGCTTGTTTTTATTTTTTATTTTGAGACAAGGTCTAAATAGCCCAGACTAGAATTGAACTAGCAGGTCTCCTAATTCAGCCTCCCTGTATGTTGGGATTACAGGCATGAACCACCATGCCTGGCTTGGAGATTTTTAAAAGAGATGGTCTGGCAGGATACCAGATACTACAAAATAGGTCATAACAACTATCAGCAGCAAACAGTTAGTAGCAAGAGGCAGAGGAGAGAAACTTCATAGTAATGTTATCCCAATTTTGATACTTGTTTATGGGATAACTTGTTTTTTTCTTTGGGCCTTGTATTTGCATTTCTAGATATGAAAGATTTTAAAGTGTCCTTTTTTGTTTGTTTGTTTTTTGAGATGGAGTTTTACTACGTAGTTCAGGCTGGCCTTGAACTTACTATGTACCCAAGCCAGCCTCAAACAGCGATCCTCCTGCCTCAGCCTCTTTGAGTGCTTTTAAAGTGTCCATATTTCTAGCACACATAAGGCCCACACATAAGTTCACTTCCCAGCACTGCAAAAAAAGAAGAGAAAAAAGAAAAAAAGTGTCCATGTTTAATAGCCCAATACTTCAAAGTATTTTGTGTTATTGTGGTATCATGTGTAAACAGTTTAAAAGAAATCTTTTATGAGATTACCTTAAATTTGGAAATAAGCTTTTTATGTATTCTTTTTTGGGGTTTTTTTTCAGGTTTTTTTGGTACTGGGGATCGAACCTCGGGTCCTTGCGCTTGCGAAGCAGGCAGCGAAACCACTGAGCTAAATCCCCGGCCCTTTTATGTACTGTTTTTGCATTTAGATACTAAATTACCTTTAAAAATAGTTGATTCATGATGGGTGTGGTGACACATGCCTGTAATCCCAGCACTGGGGAGGCTGAGGCAGGAGGATTGCTGTGAGTTCGAAACCAACCTGGGCTACAGAGTGAGTTCAAGGCCAGCCTGAACTACATAGCAAGACCCTATCTCAAAAAGCAAAAAATAAATAAAAATAGTTCTCGCAAGCGCAAGGTACTGAGTTCAATCCCTGGTACCAAAAATAAAAATAGTTGATTCTCTCTATTATGACTGTAGAATTCTCCACCCCCCACACACACACCCAACTGGGGATTGAACTAAGGCCTTCACACTGAGCTATATCCCCAGCCCTTTTTAAATTTTTTGTTTTGAGACAAGGTCTTAAATTGCTCAGGTAAAACTCAAACTTACAGTCCTCCTGCCTCAGCCTCCCAAGTCCTGGGATTATAGGTGTGTGCCACTGTGCTTGCTCTGACTGTAGAATTCTGAAAATAAGAAAACTTTGCATTGTTAATATTAAAGCACTAAGATTAGAAGGACAAAATATTTTATACAGAAAAGAAGTATTAATCTTGTTCATGTGTTGTCTTGACCTATGAATGTGATCAAAAAAGTAATACAGGTATTTCTGTTATGATTTAGATCTACAATTTCCCCCAAAGTCTCATGTGTTTGGAAGGTGATTGAATCATAGGGGTGCTATACTTATTAGTGGATTCATCCATAGAGGAGTTCATTTGCAGAATGTGCTGTTAAGAGGTTGGGCATCAATGAGAGGTGCATGCATTGGGGGCATGACCTGGAAAAGTATGTGCTTGTTCCTAGCTCGTGTTTATTCTGTCTGCTTCCTGGCTTCCATGAGTTGAACAGCTTTTCTGTTCCAGGCCTTGGATTGAAACTATGAGCCAAAATAAACCACTCCTTTAAGTTATGGGTGTTGGGCAGTTTGTTTCATAAATGAGAAAGTGACAAAGATAAGGTCAAATTATATAATATTATAACAAAATTCTCAAGCTCACACCTTAAGCAATTGTAATAACATTAGACAATTACATTATAACATATCTAGTATATGATCTAATAATGTTTTAGGTCTTTAAACTTCTGAGCTTGACCATACAGTTAATTCTTCCTTTACATCCTGTTTACCCTCTATAATCTTCCTAAAAGGCAATTCAGCCATAAATATGTCCTTGAAAAAAAAAATGCCTTAAACAACGGGCAGAGAATTTTTTATTTTGGTACTGGGAATTGAACTCAGGTCCTTGCGCTTGCGCAGCAGGCAGTGAAACCACTGAGCTAAATCCCCGGCCCTGGGCAGAAAAATTTTTATATGTAAGATATTTATTTTTTCTTTTCTTTTTTTTTCCCTAGTACTGGAGATCAAACTCAGGACCTTGCACTTTCGAGGCAGGCATGGTGCTACTGAGCTCAATCCCCGGCCCCTATTTTTTCTTATAATAAAAATTAAAAGTGGCCTTTAAGTCCCAAACTAGGGAATTGGTTAAATAAATTTATTACCACACTAGTACTGAAAATTATTTTACCACAGTAGTTAATAAGATGAGAAAATCCACAGTAATACTGTTTAGGAGGAAAAACAAGCAAGTTATTAACAAAGTATGTATAATGTTTTGTTTGGTTAGGTTTTGGTTTGTTTTTTCTTTTGATACTGGGGATCAAACTCAGGACCTTGCGCTTTCGAGGCAGGCAGCGGAGCTACTGAGCTAAATCCCTGGCCCCGGTATTGTTTTGTGTGTGTGTGTGTTTTTTTTTTTTTGAGACAAGGTCTCACTGTGTAGTTCAGACTGGCCTTGAACTCACTATATAGCCTAAGCTGGCCTCGGAACTCATGGTGATCCTCCTGCCTCAGCCTTCCAAGTGCTGGGATTACAGACAGGCACCACCACACCCACAGAGTATATATAACGTAACCCCAGTTTTTTCTTTTCCTTCCTTCCTTCCTTCCTTCCCTGCATTTTTCTGTCTTCCTTTTCTTTCATTGGGGATTAAACCCAGGTCCTCAAGCACACTAAGCAAACACTTTACCATTGATCTATGTCCCCAGCCCTTTTATATAATTTTGAGACAGGGTCTCACTAAGTTGTCTGAGGTGGGTTCAAACTTGGATCATCCTGCCTCAGCCTTCCAAGTAGCTGGAATTATAGATATCATTTTTCTAAAAATTACTTCCATAGGCCATTGAGAAAGTTAAGAATGAAGATGCCAAAATGTTAGCGGTTGCTGTTAATACATGGTAGGATAATTGATGAATTTTGGAATAGTGTGGTTTTCTAAATTCTTAGTGATCCACCATTTTTATTGTACTCTGTGAATTGATTTTATATATACTGCTTTGGGGAAATACATATGATTTGTACATAGCCTCACACCTTCCTTTTTCTTTTAACTTCTTGCACAGTTGGACTTTTTATACCATATCCATTTTGCTTTAATAACAGAATTGTCATTTGGAACAGAACTATATCTAAGCCTTTTAGCCTCAGCACAATGATAGGGATCTAGTTCAGGACTCAAGGATATGATTAGAAATTCACTAAGGTTAAATAAAATACTCAGTTTTTACCTACTCAGTGCAGTTGCCTTTTATGTTCTACAAGTACATTTAAAAGCCTGCTGGGCCAGGGATTTAGCTCAGTGGTGCTGCTGCCTACCTTGAAAACCCAAGGTCCTTAGTTCTGTCCCTGGTACCAAAAAAAAAAAAAAGCCAAACACAAAATAATAGAGGAATGAAGATAAATTATGAAGTATTATTACTACTATCAAGACAGTTCACACCCTGCATAATAATCTTCAGTATTATTTCACCTTTCCTGATGTAAAGGGAGAGAAGGGATGAAAGGAAATACTTGAGTTAGAAATAGTATTTTAAAGAAGAAATTGATAGAAAAATGAGGTGGTTTGTTTCATGGTTATGTATCTTTAATCTCAAGGAATTTAAACCTCTGTACTATAAGGACATGAAAAATGATTAATATAAGCTGTATAAATAGCTGTTTCAACATTTAGACCAGTCATTCAACCCTAGACCAAAAATGATATGTATATTTATTTTTTTTGATATATATATTTATAATTAGGATTGTGATCATTGGAAAATTCCTCTCACCAGTGGGAGAATAGCTAATAAATTATAGAAGGTATGTACAATGAATTTTAGGTTCACCAAAGGTATCAAAAAATAAAATTATTTGAGAAGTGCTAAAGAGGTAATGTTAAATGAGAAAAACAAGGTTAAAATTGTATTATATATGGTATGATCCCAAATACATTTTTAAAGTATAGTTGGGGTTAAAGGGTTGTGCTGCTTCTCCTTAACTATAGATGATATAAGTTGGTGCTGTGTTTAAAATGAAGCAGTGGGCCGGGGATTTAGCTCAGTGGTTTTGCCGCCTGCTGTGCAAGCGCAAGGACCTGAGTTCAATCCCTGGTACCAAGAAAAACAAACAAACAAAATAAATAAATAAAATGAAGCAGTGCATTTGGAACTAAGAAGTACTGGTATTAAAATAAATAGTTGGCCAACAGTAAAACTTACATAGAAATGCTTATTGGGCAATAGACTTTTGAGTTCCTCATAATCTATTTCTTTGTTGAATTGGCTGAAACTTGAACTTTTGATAATTTTGGGTTCATGTGTTTTTGCTGGGTGACAACTGAGGGGTTTTTTTTTAATTAAGAGGAAAAATCATCTGTTTTAGACACCTAGTAAAAAGCTATGAAGTGTTGGTTCCAACACTTTCTACTGGTTAGGGCACAAAAACAAAGAGAGATTTATATAAGCCACCTTGTAAGAAGGCTAAATTTGGTACTATTAAGCATCATATGTTACATATAAATTTTTGTGTAGTTATATCAAGATTGAATAAATTTGTGGGTATAATTGAAATTTTAGCTTCCCACTTGTGTTAGTCAACTTTCAGACTCTATAACAAATACCTGAGATAATCAGCTTATAAAGAGGAAATGTTTATCTCGGCTCACAGTTGTAACGATTTCAGTCCATAATTACTGGCACATGGCTTTGGACCTATGGTGGCATATTATGACAGGAGTGCATGGCAGAATAAAAGCAAACATCTCATGGTCAGGAAGTTAGAAGGGAAGAAGAGACCAAGTTCCCATAATCTCCTTCAGGGGCACATGTCCAGTTACCAGGAGACCTTATAAGGCCTCACTTCCTAGTAGCTCCAAGCTGGAAACCAAGTGTTTACCATGTGGACCTTTGGGGGACACTTACCTCAACCATAGCACCAGTTATTGAAATGGGTGTTCTCACCCTTAGATTCTACATAGTAGAGCCAGGAGTGGTGGCACACACCTGTAATCCCAACTCGGGAGGCTGTGGCAGGAGGATCAAGAGTTCGGGAGTAAATTTAAAGCCAGTCTGCACTACATAGTGAGACCCTGTCTCAAAACAAACAGCAAGGCCAGGGATTTAGCTCAGTGGCCTGCACCTACCTCAAAAGCACAAGGTCCTGAGTTCATTCCCTGGTACCAAAAAACAAAAACCCCACAGTTCTACAATAATTTGTTTGTTTTCCACTACTGGAGATTATTTGTAAAAAACTACATCCTCAGTATTTTTTTTTTAGACAGGATCTGGCTAAATAGCTGAGTTGTCCAGGGTAGCCTCAGCCTTTCACAATGCTAGGATTATAGGTATACGCCAATACACTTGGCCTCTGCAGTAATTTAAAGAATTTAGAATATGAGGTTTAAATAATGTTGAGCACTTGGACCCATTCCTTCCCAAAAATGTTCCTGTTTTAGAAATCATAGATAAGCCAAGGTTAATGATGTTAGCTGTAATACCTATGCTACATGCCCCACTTCCCTATTGGATCAATATTACCTAAGTGGCTATACTTGTAATCTTTTTGGTTGATTATAGTTTGATCCATGTTGTACCCACATTGTGACTTTGCTGTATAAATTACCCCTGACAAAGGGCCTCGGTGGCAACCCACTCAGGACTCCTCCTGTCTTTCAGGAGCTATCTCTCAAGAAACCTTTCCTGCTTTTAGGTAGGTAGCTAGGTAGGTAGGTAGGTAGTTAGAGATAGATAGATAGATAGATAGATAGATAGATAGATAGATAGATAGATAGATAGAGTTGAGGACCATTCTGCTTTTAAGCATCCCTTGTATCCAGTTTTTAGAGGGGAAAATAACTAACTTCTATTGGAAGTTAGTTACTCAATGCAAGTAACTTCTACATATTTTTTGTTTAGAAAGTAGTTACTGAAATACCTTATTTTGCCCAGGTAAAATCTTTAAGTGATGCATTTGTAATTAGTTTTCACAAAATAATACTTTTTCCCTACTATCAGAATGGCCCATAATTAAAATATTTTTCTGTTGCTTATTATGTTTTCTCTTTGTAAGGTATTGTGTTCAATGATAATTTGTCTCATTTTAGTAGTTCCAACAAAATAATGCAACAAAGCAAATTAGCAGTAGATACTCAGCTTCCCTTTGACTTATTTTATCTTTTAAATCTTATCACTTGCATTTAAATCTTGTTCTTTCTCATTTTAGGCTTCTTATATTGGAACAGCTTACAAACAGTATAAAGCACACAAAAGGAGCTCGTCAGCAAATAGTTCAATTACATACAGTTTCTTCCATTTCTAATTTCTTGAAGGTAATTCTTTTTTAAAAAAAAACTAAAATTCTGTTTAATTTTTTTAAAAACATGGCTAACATAGGTTTGGGTATGATTTTTTTTTTTTGTACCAGGGATCGAACTCAGGTCCTTGCGCTTGCACGGCAGGCGGCAAAACCACTGAGCTAAATCCCCGGCCCTGGGAATGATATTTTTAAAGAGCTTTGTTTTCCTCGTTTTTATCTCTTGAAGAAAATGTTTCAGGATTTGTGATTCTCCTTTTACTTTTTCTCCACATGAAAGTAGACCAAGAATTGATGAAACAAATCCAACTTGCGGTTATATTTATGACTTAACTGTTTCTAAGTAAAATATTGTAAGCTTCATTGATCATTCCTGTTATAGACTATGAATGTTCTGAACATTTTTATGCTACCATGATAATTGATTGCTATATTGTTTGCCTGAAGATAAAATTCTAAAGTGCTTTTTGGGTGATGGGGAGGATCAAAGTCTATTTATATGGTCAATGTACATTTTGTGTTCTGATTTTTTAAAAATATGAACATACTTGGTTAACCAGAATATACATTCTAAGCTAGATATGAGAATTTGTTGCACATGTAAGTTTGGATTCTTTTTTATGTACTTCAGTACATGGCTGGTTCCAAGGGAAGTTTAGCCTCAGAAGAAATGAGAAGACTTGCCCTAACATTAGTGATGGGAGCCCTAGAAAGTCATAACCCCCTTTTGAGGTGTGCAGCTGCAGAGGCATGGGCTAGGCTAGCCCAAGTGGTTGATGATGGAGCTTTTACTGCTGGATTAGCTCAAGTTAGCTTTGACAAGTAAGTGAATTTCTTATTTTAATACTCATGAGCTACATGTCAAAACTGGACATAGCTTGCTGGTTTGTTGGAACTAGTTAGAACTTCATTCTAAGATTGAGGGGGAACAACAAAAAGATTGCGGGGGGAAAGATTGCCACAGGTGGTGGTGTATGCTTGTAATCCCAGTTATTTAAGAGGCTGAGGCAGAAAGATTGCAAGTTCAAAGCCAGTTTATACAGTTTAGGCCAGTTGCAAGTTCAAGGCTAATTTACACAATTTAGTGAGACTCTGTCTAAAAATAAAATTTTGAGGGCCGGGGATTTAGCTCAGTGGCCCCACACCTGCCTCGCAAGCACCAGGTTCTGAGTTCGATCCCCAGTACCAAAAAAAAATTTTTTTTTAAATAGGACCGGGGATGTAGCTCAGCACTCCCTGATTCAATCCTCAGTGCTGCAGGAAGAAAAGAAAAGAAAAACTGACATATATGAGTGCTTTAAAACAAAGGAAAACCCTCTTAGCTTGCTGTCTTACTTTTCTTGTTGCTGAGACATACCCAACACCCAAAATTAAAGGAGGGCAGTTTTATTTAGCTCACAGTTTGTAGAGATTTCAGTCCATAATCAGCTGGTCCCAAGGCAAGGTGGCTGGCAGACAGGCATCATAGAGGAGAGACAGTTCATGACAGGGAGAAGGTAGAACAAGGATCAACCATAGCTCTTTCTAGCATTTATATCTTATCCAGGGTAATTAGGGCAGTAGCACTCATACCCTTAATCCTAATGCCCTTGATCTAGCATTGCACCATGAATCAATCCCAGCATCACACACTCTAGATCCAAACATTTCTGAAAAACCCCACCGGTGACTTCATGAGGCTTTGGGGGACATCTAGACCCAAGCCATAAAACCTGCTGATTTTGAAATTTAAAATTATTACTTCAAGCTAGGTGTCGTGCCACATGCCTGTAACTCTAGCACTCAGGCCAAGGAAGGATTGTGAGTTCAAGGCCAGCCTGGGCTACATGGTGCAAGACCCTGTCTCACATCCTGCCCCCACACACATACACAAAAGATACTACCTCAGCTTTAATCTTTGTATATAGCAAGAGAAAGATCACTGTTATGTGAATGTTAACTGACCATCAATGGAATGGACTTTAGGTTAGTGAGAAATTTACTCAATGTTATATTGTCAGATATAGATGATAGTAAGAATAATCTACAGGAAGAGGAAAAGCTGATGAATGTAGACCAGGAAACATAAGTAGCTTTTGGTAGGTTACTTTATCCTCTCACCCAGTTTTTCTTTATTCCAACTAGAAGGTTGTTAATACTGTATTGTCCAGTCTCCTTAGGAATATTAAGATAAAGGAGGTGATAAATATAAAAGTAATATGAAAAAAACCAAAACAATTACAAATAAAAGTTTATGGTTTTAAGATACGGTTTTGTATAGATCAGACTTCAGTGACACATGCCTGTAATCCCAGCCATTGGGAGTCAGAGACAGAAGGATTGCTGTGAGTTTCAGGCAGTCTCCAGTTCAAGCTGGCCTTGAACTCACTATGTAGCCTAGGGTGGCCTCAAACTTGCAGGCATCTTTCTGCTTTGGCCTCCCAAGTGCTGGGATTACAGCCATGTCCCACCATGCCTGGCTGTCAGCATGTGAGTTTTTAAAATGTAACTTAATGGTAAAGTAGTAATAATGCCTACCTTATAAACTGTGTCTATGTGTGTTTACATCTGAAAGACATAAAACTGGTTATACTGAAACAATCAATAATGTGAAGACCTTTTTTTATTTATAATGTTTTCCTTTGTAAGATACCTGTCAGCTTATTTCAAAATTTTTATCAGTTTGTAGTAAATGTATTTCTTAATTTTGTAAATATTCTTATAAAAAGCTTTACCTAGGTGGAGGATTTAGCTCAGTGGCCCCACGCCTGCTTTGCAAGTGCAAGGTCCTGAGTTCATCCCCTGGTACTGAAAAAAAACCTTTGCCTAAGTGACAACATAGATGCATTAGTTTTTGCTTTGTTTTGTTTTCAGTGCTTGTCATTTATTTTTGTTTCATAATTACCAGATTGAAATCAGCAAGAGATGTGGTTACCAGAACAGGACACTCATTGGCATTGGGATCTCTACATAGATATTTAGGAGGAGTAAGTTCTCAACACTTGAACTCTTGCGTTGGAATCCTTTTTACTTTGTCTCAGGACAGCACTTCTCCAGATGTGCAGGTGAGTGCCTTATATGATATCTTCCTTGAAGCTCATGCTTTTTATAGATTATGCAGATTGTTTTTACTGACCACTAATAACCTGTGAATAATATTTCCCCCATAGTAAATGTCAAAAATTGTTAACTTTGGTGAATTTTAAAATTCAAATCTATATTCTCATACTCAAAGTGTCTAAAGTCAAGTTCAGTATCTTTTTCTGAAAATGAATCACCTTTCCATCATAATAATAGCTCCTATTATTTTGGAGAGTTTAATAGATACCAATCATTACATTATATTCTTCTAAATATTTAGCATAATTATCAAGATTATTTTACATACATAGTCCCTTAAAGGGAAATTAAAACTGGGGATTATAGAATGTAATAAGTAACTTAGTCATAGCTAAAAAGCTAATCATGGAATCTGGTCATGACATAGATCATATGCTCAAAACCCATGTTCTTTGCCACCATACCATATTATTGTACATATATTACCTGTTTCAATAAAATATCATAGTAGCTGGGTTTGATGCTCATCACTTGAGAGGCTGAGGCAGCAGGATACCCAGCAGTTCAAGGCCAGCCTGAACTACATAGTGAGACGCTGTCTTAAAAAACCAAAAATATAAAATAAAATACTGCAACATTACCCATGGTCAATAAAATTATTACTCTCTTGATATCATAATCAACTGGGATGAGTTGATTCCTCCTATTCTTTTATTTTCCTTATCTTACCTCTTCTTTAGTTTCACATGTTATCTGATTAACTCTTAATGCCTCCTAATAGGTAATGTTATTTCTAGATTCTTTTCTTTCCACCATTCTCTAGAGATGAGCTCAAAGTTGTTATTTTAAAAAACTTTCATTTTGCCACTCCCCTACTGAAAATCTGGACAAACTGCTTTTTGCTTCTTTAGTCAACTTCTCATTCCAGTCCCCAAAACCACCTGTTATTTCCCCAAAGTACTGGCGTCTACAGATGATCTATCTATCCACTTCCCTTCTACCCATGTCATTCTGATAATTGCACTTAAGTTGTTTCCTTTTACTTTTCTCCTTCCCTTTCTTACCTGATAATTCAAATTTTTTAGTATTTTAAAGATTGAAGTTAACCTCCATCTCATCAGACTTTAATATTTCTAATTTGGTTTTCCTTCTCTGAATTAGCACATTATTAATAGTGTCCTCCATATTGTCTCGTACCTAACTGAACCTACTTAAAATTCAGTTTCAGTGAATATGTGGCCAGTTTTGGTTCATTTAAACCAGAATATGTACTAATAGATGTAAATGATAGTGCACTTGTCATAAGTGTAATGTATATGAATACAGTGTATAAACTGGGTACACTGTATAATGAGCACCTAGGTCCCTAAACAGTGTATTATCAGTACCCCCAGTCATTCTTCTCATGCTGCCTTCTGGTTAACTATATGACCCATCAAGAAGAGTGACCATCTTCATTTATAATAGCATAAATTATTTTTGCCTTCTTTTATACTTCACAAAGTGGAATTATACAGTATGTTGTCTTTTATGTCTGGCTTTCTTCATTCAACATTATGTTCAGGGGATTAGTCCATGTTGCACGTAGTTGTAGATTTTGTTGAATCTTTGTGTGTGTGTGTGTGTGTGTGTGTGTGTTGAATCTTTTTGAAAATTTGAATTTGCACTTTTTCTATAGATTAAACAATAAACACTTTTCACCAAAGTATATTTGATTCAGGCTATTAGCTAAAATACCAGACATTATCTTGGAATTATAAGGCTGAGTTATAAGGCTTAGTTATATCATTCTAAATTTGATGATTGTCTCTGAGTTGGTTTTATACTGGATATAATAGATATTTAAAGAAGAGAATTTTCTCAGACTCTTAAGGGTCTCTATTTCTCTTTCCAAATTAGTAGTAGAACACACATACTTTGCCATTACTTTATCACTTTCTTTAACAAAGAACAAGTGAATGTCCTTTATGTTTCTAAATGCTAATATGTTGTTTCTCTTTGTCTTCACAGACCTGGGCCCTACATTCTCTGTCACTGCTAATCGATTCTGCTGGCCCACTCTTTCATGTACATGTGGAACCTACCCTTTCTCTCATTATAATGTTGTTGTTAAATGTGCCTCCTACTCATGCTGAAGTTCACCAAAGTCTTGGACGCTGTTTGAATGCCCTTATTACCACATTAGGTCCAGAGCTGCAAGGTATGCATAGGCTGCTTTTGTGATGTTTTACTTAAAAAAATGTACACATAATAATGAATTTGGTTCTTAGTCTGCTTGGCACATGGTAGATGCTTAGTATCTTTTGTTAAATAAATGTATAAATGTCACTCAGCTTTATTTCTTTTACCATATTTAGAAAGGTAAGATATGTCCTAAAGATGCTTCCTTGTTTATAATCCCATCTACTTGGAAAGCTAAGGCAAAATGAGCCCAAGTTCAAGGCCAGCTAGCTTGAGTAACTTAGCAAGATTGTTGTTAAAAATAAAAAATTTAAAAAGTACTACAGATGGCAATTCAGTAGTAGAACACTTGCCTAGAATGCACAAAACTCCAGGTTCAATCCCCATTTCTACCACCAACAAAAAACAAGAAACCCTTAAAAATTACAGACATGAAAAAAAAAAATTACAGACATGAAGTAGAGTAGTTTAAAAAGCTCTGATCCCTTTTTAAGAAGTAAATAAGTCCAGGGCTGGGGATTTAGCTTAGTGGTTCCACCGCCTGCCCCACAAGCACAAGGATCTGAGTTCAATCCCCGGTACCAGTAAATAAATAAGTCCAAAAACTCATGTTCTGATCTATTCAAATTACATGGTGTATGATTATAATACATGAAAGTAACTCAACTAATATAAGCAGGGCTAAATTTATTGGCAATTTCTAATTCCACTTTTCATGAAAATTTGTTAAAACTTATAATCTTAGGTTGTTCTTTGCTTAATGATTTTTGCTGTAATAAACATCTCAATTAAGAATAAGAAAATTGGGCCGGGGATTTAGCTCAGTGGTTTTGCCGCCTGCTGTGCAAGCGCAAGGACCCGAGTTTGATCCCCGGTACCAAAAAAAAAAAGAATAAGAAAATCTGGGGCTAGGGATTTAGCTCAGTGGCACCATGCCTGCCTCGCAAGTGCAAGGTCCTGAGTTCAATCCCTGGTACCAAAAAAAAAAAAGAGTAAGGAAATCTAAATATTTGTGACCTACATCATCCTTGCTGTTTGGGAGTGGGGGGAATTGAACTCACGGCCTTGCACATGCTCTACCACTGAGCTATGCCTCTAGCCCCTATTCCCACTTTTGTAGCAGAAATTTTGCTTCACATGGATCCTTAAATTTAAAGCTTCAAATAAATTTTAAACTGATAATGTGTTCAAAGAGTAATGATTTTAGAGATCAATTATTAAAAATTTTTGGCATTTACTTTAGTTAACAGTACTTCAGTTTCTACCTTGAGGACTTCCTGTCTGTTGGGTTGTGCAGTTATGCAAGATAATCCATACTGCCTTGTTCAAGCCCAGGCCATCTCTTGCCTTCAGCAACTTCATATGTTTGCTCCACGACATGTCAACTTGTCTAGCCTGGTTAGCTGCCTCTGTGTGAGTATAAAATTATAAATGAGCTCTCAGTTTCTTTTATTTGAAATTTAATTTATTCAAGTTTAATTATTTTTTTAGTCTGTGTGCAAAGTTATATGTTATATACCTGTTTTCTTTTGGTGTTTTTTGGAATGGGGAAGCAACTTTCATATAGTCAACACTTAAATCATATAAATTCATTCCCCCCATTAGTTTTTTGAAATACTTATTTATTAAGCAGTAAGCATATATTGGGTATTTATATTGACCCAGGCAGTGTATAAATGCTGTAGGACATGCAAATATTTATGGTAATCTCCTGTCTGTTTTTCTTCTTCTCTTCTAAATTATTATATACAAAGTTCTTTCCATCTCAGGTGGAGAAATACTTTTCTTTAATATTTTAGCAACATATGCATCAATATCTGTATTCTAATAATGTATCCAACAAATGTAGAAAGATGCAGGCATCCAACTCAAAAATTCTAGTGAAATGATTTGTAAACATCATTAGTTTTAAATTTTTCCTTGAGTATGACCAATTTCTTTATGTACTTGCCGCAAACATTTAGTTGCATTTAGGATTGTAACCTGACACCATTGCTTTTCCATTTTTCTGCCTGTGTAGCATTCACAGCAAACTTCATTAATAACATGGTAGTTTGGAAGCATTACTTTAAACAGTCCTTTTATTTTCAAGATTGAGCAAAAATAGGCAGAATTTCAGAGACTGAAAAGACCTCACAATTTGAAAATCTATCACATAGATTACCCCTGTTTTTGTAAAATGATGTTTGCATCATTAAAACCAGTCTCAATAAAAAGATTATCTAAGGACCACAAAGGCAAATAACTTGCTCAAGGAACCATATCTAGGTAGTTAGTGGTAGCTAATTCTTAGACTCCATGTTTTTGGACTTCTCATTCAGTCATCATTTCATTATTTTATATTGCTTTTATGGATTTGTTTGACTAGATCACACATCTGCACTCTGTCAGCCCCCTAGCTGTGTGGCTGTAGGGAAGCCCCATAACCTCTTCCAGTGTCACCTACTTTATCTGTTGAACATAAGGATTACATAAGATGTTGCATATCCCAAATATTTAGTTAGCACTCAGTAGTGATAATCATTTTTATTGTGTTGACATATATCTTAAGCATACGTGGTATTAATTGTTGATACTGATAGTCATATAAAACTTGAAAAAGAAAATGTGACCAACTTTTCTAGCAGAGAATTCTGTTTATTTTTTAAGATTAGGTCAATTATGTATTTAGGGGAAATACCACTTAGAAGGAAAGAATTTTACCTTTTCACTTAAGCACTTTAACCCAGTAATGTTACTCTTTATATTTGAAGAATCACTGCCAAAACCAATTATTGAAAAAATTTCCCCTCCTTTGCAAGTTGATCTGACTTCTGGTCTCCATCTAAAATTGATACTGCTATTTTTTCTTCATGAATTGTAAAAAATTTTCATTAATGGCCTTTTAAAATTTCTCCTTTAACTTATACTGAATTCATTTATTAAAATTTACTGAGAGGGCCGAGGATTTAGCTCAGTGGTTTTGCCGCCTGCTGCACAAGTGCAAGGACCCGAGTTCGATCCCCGGTACCAAAAAATTAAAAAAATTTTTAAAAATAAAATAAAATTTACTGAGAAATGAATGAAGGATAAGACTAACAATAATTCATGATGAATAAGACCTCGTCAAACTCATTAACTTTTTTCCTTTCTCAGACTAAAAAAAAGTACATATAAAGGGCTGGGGATTTAGCTCAGTGGTTCCGCCTCCTGCCTCGCAAGCGCAAGGTCCCAAGTTCGATCCCTGGTACCAAAAAAAAAAAAAGTACATATAAATGATAGAGACTTATTATGAAGATTTTTCTTTTAGCTATATTGAGCAGTTAAAGAAATTAGTAGTAATCATTATGAATCTTATTTAACTCATAATATTCAAGCTGTAAGTTGATTGTTTTCTTACTTAGAAATCATATTCAAAATAACAATCACTCCAGGCCTGGTGGTGCACTCCTATAGTCTCAGCACTCGGGAGGCTGAAACAGGAAGATCACAAGTTCAAGGCCAGCCTGGACTACATAGTGAATTCAAAGCCAGCCTGAACTTTGTAGCGAGATCCTGGCTCAAAAAAAAGCATTACACTGTATGTCTTAATATTTTAGTTAGTAATTCTAAATTTACTAAAGTATTCTCTGAAGTAAGGAAATTGCATTTCATCATTAGGCAAGAACCATACTATAAAGATTTCCTTGTAACTACATGCTGTTTATCTTCCATTCTGAACTTGGCCTTAGCTACACTAACAGTTCTGATTACTCTCATTTTTAAAACTTGGCTTCCAAGCATTAAAAAAAAAAAAGTCTAGGGCCAAGGATGTAGCTTAGTTGCCATGCGCCTGCCTGGCAAGTGCAAGGTCCTGAGTTTGATCCCCAGTACCGCCAAAAAAAATCTATAATTAACTTTTGGTGAGGTAAACCATTATTTTTATCTCTTGCCAGACACCTGTTCTTGGGAGTGCAGTCCAGATCATTCCTCTCATAGACATGTCTGCTTGATCTGGTTCTGATACTGAGGCTTAATCAGAGATTCCAAAGGAAGACCTGTTTATTCAAATGTAGATCTTAAAATTGTCGTGTATTTTATATCTTTACATCTTGAAAGTCTTGAGTTGACTATTTTTAAGATCTTACCTCAACTCTTAAGTTGGGAAATAAAGTATTTATGCCATATTCTTAAACTGGAGCTAAGCCAATTTGAGTAACTATCAGCATTTATATTTTAATGCTTAGGTGATTGTTGTCAAAGTCATCCTAGTACTTATCTTTTGGTTTTGTCATGACTGGTCTGTCATTTGTTTTTGTACAGGAGATCTTGTTGGATAATTCTGTGTTGGTAGGTCCCTGACCCTTGATTCCTAACTTTTTTTGAAGTTTGCAGTGCTGTTTCTTTGTGTTGTTTTTGATTGTAGATGTCCTTATTATCCTCTGCATCTGCTAACCATCAATGTAAATTCAGAATGTATAGCATGTTACATGGTGTTTATTTAATACCAATACAAACATATCCTGCCTAACCTTCTGCAGCTGGAGCACGCACTCCTTGCACTGCATTTTGCATCATTTTGATTTAATATGTTCATTTCAGAAAGGTCTTGTAGTTAACAGTTTGATTTAATTTCTGCATTTTGCCTGCTTTGTTTGTTTGCCTTAATTTACTCTGTTCCTCTTTCCAGTTTAAATGCTGGAGAATGACTTGGAAATATTAAGCCTCCTGTTCTGCTTTGTATGATAGCCTCCAGTCTTTTTTCTACCAGAGTAGACCTAAGCATGCTTTTTTAAAAGATTGTTTGACCAGCCTAAATAAATGCCACACCTGCGTTGTATTATGTGCTTGTAAAGCTCCAGTTAAAATAGCTAGTAGATTCATTAACTTTTTAAAAAAATTGTCTTGTAGAATGCTTTGTCATTGTTAAATACAGCAGTAATCTTGGGTATGAGTGAGCTTAATCTTTTTATATTTTAACTTCTCTCTTATCCTTTGTGTTAGTTTCTAACAACAGAAGTTCCTAAACATGACTGGAATTAACATTTACAATGAGACTACTGTGAATGGTATTCCTCTCTATCCACTTTTGAGTTAATCATATGGCTTGAGGGAATAATAGAACATACTTACAAAGCAGTCCCCATCCATATGTTTCAGTAATGATACATTAACTTTTTCTGGTTTTTTGACTTCTGATAAAATTTACAATTCAGCTCTATTTGCATGTGTTTCTTCTTAAACATTGAAAACTAGCTGCTATCAACTAGCCTTTTTTTCCCTCATAATTTAGAAACTACTTCTCACTACCTATTTTTCCCACATAGCCCAAATCACCATATATCACTAGCAAAATTATGCCATTATTTCTCAAATTTTGCTTTGAAAAAATCACTATCAAAGATACACATTATCTAGCCATGGTGGTACACAGCTGTTAATCCCAGCAATTGGGAGGCTGAAGCAAGAGGATCACTGGGAGTTCAGGGCCAGTATCGGCTACATAATGAGTTCAAGACCAGTCTAACCTATGTAGCAAGACCCTGTCTCGAAAAAATTAAAAGATGCACATTGGGCTAGGAGTGTCACTTGGTTGTAGAGCACATGCTTAGCATGTACAAAGCCCTACATTTGATTCCCCAGCACACCCCCAAAAAAGTGCATATTTATTGTTATAGACTACATCAAACTCTGCTAGTTAGGACAAAATGTATTTTTAATTTCTAGACCTTCCTTATTTCACTTACAAAATTACTGAGTAAGAGTTTGTATCCAGAAACCTCAGACTTAAAATTGATCATTTGAGGTATATCACCAAGCTTATCATTTGCCATAGGTAGATAAAACTTACTGAAATTTACATTGTAACTCTGTGGGTCTGTGTGTGTGTATGTTTATATATATATGAAATTTGCTGTTCTGTAATGTTTCTAGAGAGCATTTTTTGGTGAATATATTTTCTGAATAAAATTTTTTTATTTGAAAATACATTTACTTTGTATGTTTTCTGAATAAAATTATTGTTAATACTTTAATAACAACATTGATTGAGCATTACTATTTGCCAGGTTCTCTGATAAGCACTTTGCACACTGTTTTAACTTCAAAACAGTCCTCTGAAGTGGGATAGTGTTACAAATAAGGAAACTAAGGCACAGAGAGGTTAAATAACTTGCTCGAGTTGCAGAGCTATTATTAATTGGTGGATCTAGGATTCAAACTGAGACAGTTTGATTCCTGGGCATCGGATTTGACCAATATGCTATATTGTTACATTTGTTTGCTATGTAGAGAACTACAAAATATAGTTGCATGAGCACAAATATATAAACCCTTTTTATTGTGTTTCTTTTATGTCAAAACTGTTTTTACTCAAATTCTCTGTCTTCTAACATTGTCGGGAGGCTTTTGCTTGGATTTGTTTATGAATAGCACATAATTTAGCACATGTATTACTCCTTAAAATAGTTTCAAGTTATATAATCACATACTAGAATAATTTTAAGAAATTTCTATGTATGTAATAAACGGGGCTGGACAAAATCAGAAGAAAGTTTTTATGAATACTTGTTGGACTTATTAAATGCCATCAAGAGTTTTAGCTCTTTCATTCCTCACATGGTATTTTTCAGGTGAATCTTTGTAGTCCCTATTTGTTACTAAGAAGAGCGGTTCTGGCTTGTTTACGGCAGCTTGTACAGAGAGAAGCAGCTGAAGTTTCAGAACATGCTGTTATGCTTGCTAATGAAGGCAGACAAGAGTCGACTCCAGGTAATTCTTTTTTATCAACATTAGGTCCAGTTCAAGTGACTGTTTAATCTTAAATTTTGCTTATATCTATGTAGAGTTTTTTAAAACAAAATTTAAAGTTAATGTATGTTTTAAAGTACTACAAGAAATTTCCAGCAGGTATTCCATCAAGTAATTTTACTGATTTATTGGCAATGATTCTCAAACTGAGGTCTCCAAACCAGCAACATCCACCTCACCAGGGAACTTTTAGAAATGCAGATTATTGGCCTCAGATCTACTAAGCCAGAAATCTGGGAGTGGAGCCCAATAATCTGTGTGTGCAGTTATATTCCTACCATCATTATGTTAGTACTAAAGTTGAGAGCCATTATTAGTTTACAACAAGATTTATTCATAATAATCAATTAAAATTGTATTTAGCCCGGAGGTAATTTATTACATATGATTCTTTTCCCTTGAACTCTCATTTTAGTAATATTTATTACAGGTGAATCTTATAACAATTTAATTGATTTTTATGCCCCCCTTCAACATTTTAGACCTGAATTAAAAGATTTCTTAGCCAGTAAGATTTAAGTATATATCTTTCATTTTAACTATGATATGAGTAACACAAATGTGTATAAATTCAAAGAAACTGTTAGCCTACAAGAATAGTAACAATGATATCTTAAACTAGTACGTGTATAGTTTCCAAAGTACTTTTGTGTGAAGGTGTGGGGTTTTTTTGAGACAGTCTTGCTATGTGATTCAGGATAGTCTCGACTCCTGGTGATCTTCCTACTTAAGCCTCCCAAGTGCTGGGATTATAGGCGTTCACCATCACGCCTGGCCAATTTAATACTTTAAGAAAGTCACAGACTTCACAATTCTTTCCAACATCTTAAAGATCCATAATGTGCTTTACTGTCAATATTCTATGCTCTTCAAATAAGTTTTATTATTATATTAACACATGTGCTGGCTTGGGTTAATCAGCATGACTGGACTGATACAGTAATCATTACACAGGTTGCAGAACTCATTTTCAAATTATTCTGTGATAGCTGGCCTTAAAAGGAAAATTTTTAATTTTCTAACACTGTCAGATATTTTCTCTAAAAGGACCTTCAGTGTATATTCACCACTGAAATTATCCGTGTCTGTGCCTTAAGACTTTGTGTCAACATGCTGGCACATATTCTTAGAAATACTATTGAATTGGCTTTTGAGTAAAATTAGAGTAAGTCATTATGTTAATTACTTTTTAAAAGTTTTGTAATTTTTCAAGCTCATAAGTTGTAAGAACCATGAAACAAGCACATAGGTTCACCTACTCTTTTTTCTTTCCTTTTCTTTTTTCTTTTGTCCTTTTTTCTTTTTGCTTTTCTTTCTTTTTTGTGTGCATGGGTGTGTGTGTGAGGGGGTGTATGTGGGTGTGGTACTGGGGATTAATCCTTCCTTTTGTGCTTGTATATGTGTATGTGTAGAGCCTTCACACTGAGCTACATACACAGCCCTTGTTATTTTTTATTTTGAAACAAGATCTCACTGAGTTGCCCAGGCAGGACTCAAAACTTGTGTTCTGCCTGCCTCAGCCTCCCAGGTCCTGGTATTATCCCAAGGTGTATTGTGACACACAGATCCAAATTTTGGTCAAGTCATTTCAAAGCAGGATACAGATCTGACAGTTCACCCCTATATACCTCAGTTTACATTTACCAAGAAGGACCTTCTGTGTAACCACACATCATTTCTACACCTAAGAAAATCAGCATTGATTTAGTAGTATCATAGAATTTATAGTCCTCGGATTTCCCAAGATATCCCAAAAATGTCCTTTTTGTCTCCTGCCCCACCCAAATTTCAGCTCTAGTCATTACTCACACAGTGCACTAATGGTTATATCCTTATAGACTGCTAATATGAAACATTACTTTCACTTCCTTCTGATCTTTCAACGATCCACTCTTCGGCTGGGGATTTAGCTCAGTGGTGCTGCCGCCTGGCTCGCAAGCACAAGGGCCTGAGTTCCATCCCCAGTACCAAAAAAATAAAGATAAAAGATCCACTCTTAAAATAGTCTAACATAATCTGTAGAATCTAAATGATTTCATGAATGCTAGATGATTTAAATCTTTAAGATGAAATTCATTTGGTTGGGCTTTTTGTTTCTTTTGCATTTTCAGAATTGAAATGATATTAATCAAGGCTGGTATTTCCTTTAAGATGCTTTATTGCCTTGCAGTGAGAATACTGTATAGTGTTAAAAAAGTTAGAAGCTTCATACCAGAATGGGGGAAGTTATTATGTTTAGTGACTTGAAATTAACTTTAGAGAAGAAACTAAATAATACCAAGACACAGTAAATAAAATTTATATGTACTATATTGAACATTAATTAGATAATATTTAACTATTTTTAAAAGCATATTAATGATTTTTAATAAAGACATAGTCAATGATAATGTTATGAATGACGGGTCCTGGAGGAATTCTTTCCAGGTTCTTGGTGTCCTGAACAAATTGGACAAGACACACAGAAAAAGTAGCTTAGGGGAGGGGAGATTCCAGGTATGGTAGTGCACACCTATAATCCCAGCATGTAGGAGGCTGAGCCAGAAGGATTGCTGGGAGTTTGAGGCCAGACTGGACTACATAGTAAGTTCAAGATGAGCCAAAACTACAGAGCAAGACCCTGTCTCAAAAAACTAAAAGAAAACGAAGCAGGGATGTACATTTGTTGAAGGTGGAAGAGCAGGGCACCTGTTGTGAATAGACTCACAATACCCACAAGGGTAAAGGAAAGGGTTCTTTTGTATTCATAATTCCTGATTTGGTTTCTTCCTCATGCAAATAAGACATTAGGATGATTGTCCTATCAAAAACTCACTTGGCCTGCCAGATTTAAACTGTCCTATTGAAGTCTTATTTTGTTTTGTGAAAGTATTGAAAATAGCACTTTTCTGATTAGGTCCCTGTACAGGGCACAGGAACTGCAAAGTCATCCTGGATCCTGTGTTCTGGACAAGTGCCCTAGGTCTGCGTGACTTTGACTGATTTTGCCCAATTGTTTGAACAGTTTTGTCCAGCTCTAATCTCCTACTTCAAGATAAATCAGGGCTGGGGATTTAGCTCAGTGGTTCCGCTGCCTGCCTTGCAAACGCAAGGTCCTGATTTCAATCCCCAGTTCCAAAAAAAAAAAAAAAGATAAATCAAAAAATAGCTATACATAATCAAAGATGATCCCAAAGTTCAGTTGTGAACTAAAATTGACCTCAGTAGGTTAAGGTACAATATTTAGGATAGTTCTTTAAAATATATTTATATGTAATATTTAATAACTACTGAATGTGTGTGCCTGTCATGGCAGTATTGTTTTCTGTATTACTTAGATCATCGGTTTTCTTCTTGTCAGATGCTAACATCAGAGAAGTGGGCCTTGAAGGGGCATTATTGATCTTACTAGACAAAGAGACAGATCAGAGGTTATGCCATGACATCAAAGAGACTTTAAATTACATGCTCGCATCTATGGCAGTGGAAAAACTCTCCCTTTGGTTAAAGCTTTGTAAAGATGTACTTGCTGCATCAGCTGGTAAGTACTGGGGATTAACAGTTTAGTAATAAACTAAAAGTAAAAATCATATTAAGGAAAAAAAATCGGGGCTGGGGATTTAGCTCAGTGGTTTCACCACCTGTTGCACAAGCACAAGGACCCGAGTTCGATCCCCGGTACCAAAAAAGAAAAGAAAAAAAAATCATATTCATTGTTTGCCAGTGATAATTCATCAGTCTTACCTGACTCTTTGAATTATAATTGTCTGATCCTTGCTTTTTTCAAATGAAGATTTTTTTACTTCTAGTGTTTAGAATTTTAATTTGAACATTAAAAAGTCTAACCCTGAAGGTTGCTTTTCCCTATTGTGATTGTCTTAAATAATTTTTCTGTATCAAAATAAATTTAACAGTAGAGCTACTGTTTCTGCTCTAAAAGGTCTGACCTAATTTATAATGGCCCTATTATTTTTTTCACACATGATAAATATTTGAGGGATTGCCATGAATCAACATAATAGAAAACTTACCAAAGGTGACATTTTGAGAAAACTAATTTTTCCACATCTTGTGGTGTTAATTTCAAATATAGTGTTAGAAAGTAATGTATCCCTAATGTCTTTGCTAATACAACATAATTGTAAAATGTGTATTTGAGCTTTTAAAATATATATCCTTGGGACTGGGGATTTAGCTCAGTGGTGCCGCCACCTGCCTCGAAAGCACAAGGACCTGAGTTCGATCCCCGGTACGAAAAATAAATAAATAAAATATATATCCTTAAAGTAAGAGAGAAAATAAAATGAGAGGAAGAAAAAAGATAGACACTAATTGTGTTCCAAGAACTGTACATACTTTATGTTTTAATCCTTTAACCTAACCTATGAATAAGCAGGTCACTCCATTTTACAGAGAAAAAACAGACTGGGAGAGATAAGTAATATATCTGAAGACACAGATTCAATTTTAAGCCTTCATAACTTTTAAAGCCATGAATTTTCTACTACTGTATACTTCATTAGCTCCCAATTTAGTTATACAAGCTTTATAAATTAATGTAGCTCTCATCTCTGAATTATGTATAAAGGAAAAATCTATCATAAAATTTCTGCAGTTTTTTTATTCTGTCTGCCTTGATTTTTTTCTCTTTTTTTTGGTACCGGGGATTCAACTTGGGACCTTACGCCTGCCTTGATTTTTATTGGCTTTCATCTTTTCTAGTGATCTATACCTGCTCTTTCAACTATAGGTTCTACATGTTTTCTGTCTTTAATGCTGTCTTCTATCAACAGTAAAGAATTTACAAGAACCTCTCCTTTAAAGGAAAATCTATGTCCATAAGTAGACGGGTATTTCATCTTATTTTAATTTTATATTCATACTTCTTGAGCTTGCTAGCTCAATTTTATTTTGCCATTAACTTCTTGTGTTCTGTAGTTTGGCTTCATTCTTTCTTACTAGAATCATTAAGATATAGTTTACCATAACTATATTAGTGACATCTTTGCTATCGTAATACACAAAAAAATGTCAACATACAAGATAGTTTAAGAAAAGCCAGATGGTTTAGATTCATTTGAAGTTGAGTAACATGCAAGAGATTGATAATTATTTTAGGCTCTAATATTGTATTTTCTTTTTCATTTGGATTATAACTTAATAACTCATTCTGACCTGGAATAGCTCTTATTTCCTATAGACAACATTGTTACCTGTAGAACTATTAGACTTAATTATTCGACATTATTATATATGACTGATCAGTAGTAATTCTAGACTACATTTGAAGTCATTTTGTGTTCCTTTATAAATATATCTTCCCATTGATTGTAATTATCTGTATTCTCCCGATAAAAGATTTTGCAGCCGTATCTTGTGTGGATACAATGCAAGAGGAAGAAGGAGATAAAGGTGATGATGCCCCAGTCCTGACCACCAGAAATGATGAAAAATCTCATCCTTTTATTAATCCCCGATGGGGGACTAGAGTCTTTGCTGCTGAATGTGTCTGTAGGATAATTAACCAGTGTGAGAATGCAAATAGCATGCATTTTGACATTGCATTAGCACAAGAAATGAAAAAAAGGGATTCAAGAAGTAAGTGCCGTATTAATGAAAATACCAAATGACATAAGTAATGATGCTGTCTGCTTAAGTTTTTTTGTTTGTTTGTTTTGTTTTGTTTTGTTTTGTTTTGTTTGTGGTACCAGGGATCAAACTCAGGACCTTGGAGCCACTAAGCTAAATCCTTGGCCCAGCTTAAGTTTTTTTGTTTTTTTGGGTTTTTTCTCAGCTTAAGTTTTAATATTAACTCAAAAAATAAAACTAGGGCTGAATATACACCTTAGTAGTGGAGCACTTGTCTAGCATGTCCATGGCCCTGAGTTCAGTCCCTTGTACTGGAAGCATAATAATAAAACTAAAAGGTTATTTTTATTCTTTCAATCAGTTATGAAACTTGGTTACAATATTTATGAAAGCCATAGGTTAGTACATTTTTAATTTTCTTTTTTTTGGTACCAGGGATCGCACCCGGGTCCTTGCGCTTGCCAAGGCAGGTGGCGGAACCACTGAGCTAAATGCCCGGCCCTTACATTTTTAATTTTTAAACACATTTATAATGATTCAGCTTAAATTTGCATTCACTTTTACTTAATGAGTATGTGAAATGAGTTAAGTTTATAGAAAATAATCTTGGGAAATAGTGTATACATTAAATAATTCCCAAAAATTATTCTGTGTATTGTAACTTCTACCAGTTTTTGCTTATAGATTTTTTTGGTTGTGGCATAGATATTACCTAGAAACATTTGAGCCTATCTCAGTGTAAACAATTCCTGAATATAAGACCATTTTGACCTCTTGTTCAATTTTATTTTTACCTATATGTGTATGTATTTATGGGTTGATTTATAATTTTTAAAATTCATGTAAGGACATATGTTCCAAGTCACAATGCACATTTCTAAATGCCCTTGGAATATTTTTATCAGATAGAAGAATCACAAAGCAGGTCTGGGGATTTAGCTCAGTGGCACCGCGCCTGCCTTGCAAGTGCAAGCTCTTGAGTTCGATCCCTGGTACCGAAAAAAAAACAAACCAGAATCACAAAGAAAAATGTTGCTATTACTAGTCTGAGTATGAATTCAGTACCTGATTTAGTGAGATTCCCCCAGCACCAGAGATCGAACTCAGGACCTTGAGCTTGCAGGGTAGGCACAGTGCCACTGGGTTTAGTGATTTTTTTTTTAAGCAAGCATGTATTGAGACTCTTACTTGGGATCAGCACTTGCAAGATTATTATGGGTATAAAATTAGTATGCCAAAGTTACTAATTCCTGTCCTCCCAACTAAAACTGTAGTTGAGAGCTGGTGTGTGGCTCTATGTAGAGTGCTTGCCTAGCATGTGCAAGGCCCTGGATTTAGCCCCCAGCACCACAAAAATAAAATATGGTAGAATAGAATCAAGTAGTAGCTGACACTTGCTAAGATACATTAGTTCTTCAATATGAGCTACAACTCTGTTCTTTGAATTAGTCTCAGATATATTCCTGGCAAAGATTGAGTGTGTCCCTAAACATTACTGAAACAGTTAAATTATTTTCTTAAAATCTCTTCCCAGAATTTTCATACCAAAGAATGTTGTAGGAATGAAAGAAATTTTCATTATTTCTATTGCTAGAGGTGTTTTTTATACTCTCATCATTTGTGTATTTGCCAAGACATGCAATAATAAGATAATCTAGTCCATATAAAGAGCCACATGATTTTTTTAAAGGAAGATTAAGTCTCTTAGCTTCAGTTTAACAAGAAGAGAATAAATTACTGTCTGACTCATCAAAACTGAAGGACTCTTTAAGTACCAACTAATGAACTTTTATCAGAAAGTCTGAATGAAATATTTATTGAAGAGTCTGTTAGTACTCTTTGTAAAGCATAGTGATTCTGCTTTTGGCTTTTGAATAACTCCATGTAATTATTTGGTTTGAGATGTGTGGGTATGTATTTGAATGTACGTTAAATTCAATTTTAAAGCTTGTATTTAACACAGAGTAAAACAGTCAAGTCAGGTTTACCTAAAAGGTCTAGGCTATGAAATTGAAAGGAGAAATTATCACTTAACACAAATTTCAGCAACTCTTTTTCTTAATAAGATACCTTTAATCTTGTAGGTGACTTTCTGGTGCTGCACCTTGCTGACTTGATTCGCATGGCTTTTATGGCTGCCACAGATCACAGTGACCAACTCCGTCTTTCTGGCCTTGAAACACTATTAGTTATTATTCGGCGATTTGCAGCTATTCCAGAACCAGAGTTTCCAGGTCATGTGATTCTGGAACAGTATCAAGCCAACGTAAGTATTTTCGGTTAGAAAATTTTCTTATCAAATAACACCAATAAAAAGTCTGTATTGGGACGGGAATTTAGCTCAGTGGTGCTGGTGCCTGCCTTGCAAGTACAAGGTCCTGAATTCAATCCCCAGTACCAAAAAAGGGTCTGTACAAATATTTGACATATCATCTCTTACTTCAAAAATCTCTTCTAGAAGTTAAACTGTCATTATTTGCTGATGATATGATACTTTATATAGAAGACCCAAAAAACTCCTCCAGAAGACTTCTAGACTTAATTGACAGATTCGGTAGAGTAGCTGGATACAAGGCCAACACTCAAAAAACAATAGCCTTCTTGTACACAAATAACACACTCACTGAGAGAGAAATTAGGGAAACAATTCCTTTTACAATAGCATCCAAAAAA